TGCGATACTGCTTTATGTAGTGTAACTAAGGGTTTTTTAGATGTGGGAGGTATAACATTGGGTGACATATGAGGGAATTAATAGTTTAATTATTGATGGAATAATTTTACTTTTAGTTAAGATATTAAATTATATGTATATTAAAAATTAGTTGTTAAGATATTAAGATATAGTTAAGATATTAAAATATATGCATATTAAAAATGAGTTGTAAGATATATATGGTAGTTAAGTAAAATAACTTTTATATATTCGAAAGTAAAAAAATTATAAGAAAGTATATATAAACACATTTATAAATTAGTTATATATATAAATCAGTTGAACTGACAAGTTAATAAAGTTATATTGGCTTAATACAAAATGTGATTTTTAGTTAAAAACTCTTTATTGCCAAAAAGTTTAAATATGCATGACGTTGCAAATCAAATGAGCTACCCAGACGAGATGCTTTAGGAAATCATTTGGAACATCTAAGCAAACTGGGTATATCATTGATAACATGCAAACTGCTACTGAGTTCTGTGCTGTACTTTTTAATAAAATATGGTTAGACCCAACAATATATAGACATCTGTACACTGTTTGGCGACGTACCAGAAAAAAGAAATCTAATACTTTCATTGAGATGTTCCGTAGAGACATCAGTCTTGTAAAAGGTTTACTTATAGGTCATTGTTGAGTAGAAAACCATGCTAGAAGATTAAATCTCCCCTCCCCTTATCTTTCGCAGTTGTGGAGTGGGCGATGAAAGTGTATTTCAAATGCTTTGTCTTGTCCAACATATACCGCCTTACTACCCTAGGGATCTTGAGGTTCTTGGTTAACTGCAAGACGTCACATTAACTAACATTTTAAGCTTTGCCAAAGTCAAGTATTTAAAACATAAAAGTCATAGTTTGCTTGACTTTTACTTCTTTAGAAGCGAAGCAAATTCTCCTTAATAAGATTCTAATTCATCGATTCTACATCGTTCACAGGAACTTAGATTTCTTTAATCTTACCTCTAGAATTAAAACTACATAATCATCGCTTGCAATGTGATCTTTGTGATTCGTAATTTGAACAGTTCGAAGTATTCCAATTAAGGTAAATTCAGCGATAATGGTAATATGTCTTTCAGTACCTTTATAAATAAGCAAAATTGTAGTAAGCTCAAAACTCAATAGCCACCCATTACCTATCGATAAAATTAACCGATTGGTGTAGTTTAAAGGTTAGTCTCTCTTCAACTGCTTTATATTTTGGATGATATTGGTAAGCATAGACCACATGACAAGTTGGAATCATTTAAAAACAACAGGTTACGCACAGATGCTCGATGTTCAAGTACTTCATATATGAATGCAAAGAAATTTGTTTGATGAATTAAAAAACTGTTGAAACACACTGGGTCAACTTTTTCTCCAACAAACCTTAGGGGTTATATAGAACACAGCTGGAATAATAACTAATAATGACTAATAATAACTTTATTAAAATTGATTTTCAATAAAGAATATTTTGGTTTCAAAATTTATCACGTAACTGTGAATACATCTCTCTTGTTTGGCCCCATATGCAAAGTACAATTCGCTCACCTTAAGAAGTGGACTGAACTGTTGGTTGCAGTTTATATGTAAATAGCATTATTAGATCAAAATTTTTTATAATATAAAAAAACACTGTTGCCACCAACTGTTACGTACGATTTATAAACATAATAAATAATTTATTGTTTCTGAAAGTGTTGTTGAAGAATAATTTCCATGATAAATATAATTTCAAAGAAATTGATGCAATATCTGGTCAACAAGATTGTTTAATTGGTTTTGAAACTACTGGTCTGTCATCAAGCACAAGAAATGCGAAATATAATTTATATGATTGAAAATCGGGTAGAAATATCAATCTACCCATAATCATTTTGCAATATAGTCAAAAAAATAATCAGTAAATTCTTGTCATTTTAGAATTTATGTGTTCAGTTTAAATACAAGGTAATAAATCTCCTTCAATGATGCTATTTATATTTAACAGGATTCAATACATTTTTTGAAACCATTTTAGCAAATTCAGTAAATATGTTAGTTTATATATCCATGGACCCACAAAGAACATATTAATTTACTTTGTGAATATTAGAAATAGGTAGTTCAAGTTGGAGCAAATATTACAAATACACAGACCTTAAGCTAATAGTATCTAGTTACTTGGAATGTATATTAAGTTTTAATATTAGTTTCTACATCCTTTGGCTTTTGGTTTCAAATATTAATGCCTTATTATTTCTAGTAGAAATTTTAGTAGTGATAAAGTAAGCCTAATGTAAGCTGTTTGAATGTAACAGAAATTTGTCAATACAGTAACTGATTAAATAGTGTACTGATGTAATTTGGAAATTGATCATATTATTTGCATCTGTTTACAGTCAAATATTTTGAGTTGACTGCTGGTGACAATTTGGCATTTCATTTGTAATGCGTGGATTTGGTAGCTGAATTCAGCGAATATTCAAATCTACTGTACTTTGTGCATAAGTCCAACATGATGTTTGCGGAATAAATATTTGCTTCTGTCAAATTGACGAACACAATTTTCCTGCCTTTACATGTAGTTTTACACAAGCATCACACAAATGAGTGCTCTTTTGAATTTTAATGCTGATAAAGTCTGTTGTCACAACAAGAAATCCTGTTGCAACTAATGTAGCGTCAAACTGAGGCTTTAAAATCGAATAAAAAAAAACAAAATTTCGATATGTGATGAGCTCCTGATAGAATTACATTTATTCAAAAAAATAATTATAATTTAAACTGGTATTTCTGAAAGAATATAAATTGAAATGAAAATATAACACATCACTGAATAAGTAGTGTGACTAAGAAAAACAAATTTTTTCTGCCAAAAATCGATTTAAGAACAATAAAATTATTCCAACGCTTCTCTAACTTCTCAACGCCATGTATGTAGAAGGATTTGTCTTTTACCTTAAAATAGGTTTCAGTTTCAACAATTACTTCTTTATTTGAGACGAATTTCTTAACGACGACCGTTTTTTTAAGATCAGCGAATAGCCAGTAGTCGCTGGGGTCCAGATCTGGACTATACGGTGGATGAGAAAAGTGTAATTCGTGCAATTTTGCCATTGACTTGTCCCATGGTGCATTGTATTGGTGAAACAAAACTTTTTTCTTCGCCATATGCGGTCGTTTTTTTTACAATTTCTGCATTCAAACAATCTAGTAATGCAGTATAGTAGTTATGGATGATTTTTCCCTTTTCGAGATAGTCAATGAAGATTATAACATATTTGAATTTGGGAGTAGAGCCTTAAGCTCTACTAGTTATTACTAAACCCAGATGATGCATGACATTTCTGTAGAATCACAGAAGACTACATATGGGGTGCTATTCATGAATCTAGTGCTAGCCTTAAGTTCAATTTGCAAGAAGTCTTTGCATTTCCTAAATTGTTTGTGCTGGTCGCAATGCATAGCATGAACATACGAGTTGTTATAAATCTTATTCGTTTTCAAATCCCTGTATACTAGTAAAAACTTCCACTTGAATCGACTTTATGAGAAGTCTAATATGTAGTTCTGTGGAATATAATTCAGTTTGCGACTATATATATATTACATATCTCATTGTTTTCAAATGACACAGTAACAATTAAACTATAATAGTATTACTCCTTCTACCTACTTTGTTATATTCAAACTTTTTAAAAGTACTTCTCACTCATTTTGCGGTATGGTTTCAAAGTAAGATTGATGCCAAGTAGCACTGGTACTTTTGTTTAGCATCTAATTTAATTGATCATGTTTCATCTATAAGTGAAGCAATATTTGTCAGTTCATCAACTAGTACCATTTAAGTCTATATATACGAATGTATATTTGAAATCCAGATAAATCATCTAATTAATCTAATTAATAAAATGAGTAGAATTTTTTACTATGGGCACAACAAATGTAAGGATAATTACAATATATCTATTAAGAGATTATTAAAAATTCTTTAAGCTCAAAGTTATTAGAGTATTTTGTAAGCTGCATGAGAACTTAAAATGACAATATATACAATATAATATATAATATAAAAATATATAATATATTTTTTACTATAATCTGCTAGATACTTTCATGTCATACATATATTAAATGATTTTCGGCATATGTCCGCCCCGGCTACGAACTACATAGTCCATTCGAGCAGTTTAATTTTTGATTATTTTTTGGTCATTGTCTTTCAATGCTTTCAATGCCACAATAGTTGCGGGTTTGTCGATTGTCGGCATATGCCAATGACTTAACATAAACCCATAAAAAGTATTCAAGAGGCGTTAAATCACACGAGAGGGCCAGTTAACAGGACCAATATACGCAATCTTGCTGGGATCAAATGTCGTCGATTAATCGAAAATTAATTAATTTTTAGAGACAAAAATGTAGTCAGTATGGCTCGATAACGCTCGTCATTCACTCTAACGGCAGCTTCTTCCACATTTCGAAAGAAATAATGACCGATAATACCGCCAGCGTGTAAATGACATGAACAGGACAATTTCTTTGTCTTGTTAATGGTTTTGAATCGAGAGGAGTAAAATTAGTGCGAAAAAGATCAATAAGTGCACGAATTGCTTGCTCATTAGGCTGATTATGTTAACCGTAAAATTATCGAAGTACTCTATGAACTTCGCGAACTGATTTATTTTTATCTAAGTAAATTTGGACAATTCGCTCTAGCGTTACACAATTCGTCATAAATTGCCAAACCTTACTAAATGGAAATGTCAACACAATTTGACATTTTCAGCTGTCAAACCATAGTTATCGATATCGGTAGTGCTCATGCAGGTTAAAAACACCCTAATAAACGAAATGATTTTTATTTAGTTTTGAAAGTTAACTTTATTAGTTATAGGATATATAATCTATAACTATGTTAGCTAAAAATTTTGAATATGTGCAAACGAAAGATAACTTTAAAATTTTGTATTTAAAATATATTTTTGCATATATTTTTATTTAGTTTTTTTATGTTTTGTTTCTTTTACGCAGGTTTTTCCATCCAAATAAGTGCGCTCCAAATTAATTCCAGAACAACACATCGATTCCTCATGCCACTTTACGCAACAGAGACGCATTTGCTCCAATTCGTATAGGCACTTACTCTCCTGATATTTATTGGCTAAATGCAAATAAATTTCATAAATATTTTGCAATATTCTTATGTTTTTATTATTTTAAACAAACAAATTTTTTTAGGCTACCTTGAAGACATGATTGAATTCGGCAAGAACAGTCCTGGCAAGGATCTTTTCGTTTCGGCATTACTGGAAATATTTTTGAGATTGCAGAGCAAAAATTTTTAACAATTTTTCGCACAGATGAATTGAAAATATACCAAAGCAACTAAAAATTTACTTCAACATTCCACAAATGTTATAGAAATATTTTTCATTTAAAAACGATTTCAGTTTATTATAATTTGACTTTTAAAAATATAAAATAGTTTAAATTTTTTCTGTTTTTTATTAATTTGAATTTTTTTCATTATTATTAAATAAATAAATTATTTTTTTTGTAGATTTTAGATCTTGAAATTATTTTTTAATAAAGAAATTTATGACGTGCTTTAACTGCAAACCACATCATATTGCATTATTGTAGTTCTATTATCTATTGAAGTTGCAGTCCCATAAATTTTTGTGTTGTAAATTTCAGCTGTTGGATCACTAAAATATTTAATTTAAAGCATTGTTCTACATTCCATTTAAAAGGTAAAATTAGAAATCTAAGACTTATTTTCTTAAGTTTATGTTAGTTAATCTTGCAATTCCAGATTAATAAAGAACTGCGCCTGTCAATGTGAACTCGTTCTTTATATATCGTTGCAGTGCAATAATCGAAATACACCGAAGCAATGGCTTACAAATATTATAAATACCCAATACTGACTGGAATTAATCTCGCATTATTAATAAAACAATTTTAAGATTCTTTATTAATCGATATACGAGATGCCAAAGTAGGGATTTTTTAAAAAAACCTTGAGTCAATATGATATATTGATATGTGATATATAATATGATATTTGATATGATATATAATATCTCTTAAATGGTTGAAATAAGCAAAAGCAAAAAACCAATTCAGGGTACATAGCATATTCTTTCTTTCTTGTTGCAAAATAATCTCGTAAAAACTATATCTGAAGCACTATATAATAAATTTTAAACTGATTTAACAGTAAAAACACTTTAGGAGTCATGATAAATAATGTGTCATGGACTGAGAAATATTCAAAACATTTTTACCTGTAATCATTGTCTTTGTATTACACAAATCTCTTATATGTATAACATATAATATTTCTAATGCTGAACAGAAATGGCTTGTCCGACTTGTTAGAGGGTTTCTCACTGGACATTGCGGGAAAAAGAAAGCATCTATCGAACCTAAGTATTACAAGAGAGAATAGTAGCAGTCTTACGAAGAGAGGAAACAGCAGAACATATTCTATGTCAATGTGCTAGTCTCAACAGACTCAGATTTCGATACATAACAATTGCCTATCCACTTATAATGGAATTAGGTGACATCTCTCCAAAGGACATAATGACGTTTTTAACTGCTATTCATCTATGAAACTAAAGTGGGTATGTCACAATAATCCTCAAAGGATGCTGAGACATGATCACAAGATCCCAATCTGTTTAAAATCTAATCTATATATATTTACGTATTATATATATACGTATATATTATGATACTGACGTTATCTTATTTATTAGTGTCCAAAACTTGATAATCTGAATTTATAACAGTGCTTTATTAAAGCTCTTTTAATAGGAATTCTTATTTGTATTAATTATAAATGTATAAAGACTGATCATTGAAGTTTTGATTGTCGTAAATTGCCTTTTATATAAGAATATTGTTAAAGATCTCCCATTCATGAACAAGGATAACATTCATATGCATAATGAGAAAATTTGTGTTAATGTAAAATATGAATTGGACAATAATCTCATAATGTTAGATTTGTTAAAATAAATCTACTTAAGAAACCAAAAACTAATTAGTTTTGAAGAAACAAAAGTTGAAAGTGACATTACAGAGAAGTCAGTGTCGGCAAATAGAACTTCCGTTCAGGAAGTATAGTCCATTATTGTATCTTAGAAGCAAGAAAGGAATTTAACTGGGATGTGCTTTTCTATGAAGGGAATGTAAAGCTACAACAAATGTGAAGCAAACGCCTGTTTATATATTTCTTACTTGTTGGAATACGTCAACACTACTTTGTCATCTGTTAGACACTCATTTCCCAAACTGTAACGATGATGCTAGAGAAAACGGTTCAATCACCTTGGCAAGCACATCATCACAGATGACTGAAGAAATAGTCACAGCGGAAAAAATTAGGTATTCAATTAACAGTTTCTGTCCCTATAAATCGCCAGGTTTGGACGGTATTTTCCCTATTATGTTGCAAAAACTACAAGACTTAGTGGTTCCATGGTTAGGGGAAATTTACAAAGCATGTCTTAAATATAGTTATGTACCACTTAGTTGGAGACAGGTTAAAGTAGTCTTTATGCCCAAGGCAGGCAAAATCGGACATGAGTCCGCCAAAGATTACAGGCCGATTAGCCTAACTTCATTCTTACTAAAAACAATGGAGAGGGTAATAGAGCTCCACCTAAGACAAAAGGTAGAATGCTTTCCAATCTCTAAATCCCAGCATGCTTACCTCAAGGGTAGATCTACGGAAACAGCTCTGCATGAGGTCATTCGTACTGTGGAAAAATCGATTATTAAGCAATACTCGTTGGCAACCTTCTTAGATATTGAAGGAGCTTTTACAATTAAGCAATAAAACCATTCATGACTCTCTTTCCAGAATAGGTTTAGAGGAAGAGCTTAAAAATTGGATAGTTACTATGCTTAAAACAAGGATTATTCAATCAAAGCTAGGCAGCATAACACAAACGAAGCACGTCAGCAGGGGTACGCCACAAGGAGGGGTTATTTCACCATTACTGTGGCTGCTGGTCGTGGATAATATTCTTAATATTCTAGATAAGATAGGTGTGAAAGCAGTAGCGTACGCGGATGACGTGGTTATTCTAGTGTCAGGTATGTTCCCTAACATAATTAGCGACATTATGGAAAGGGCCTTGGTTAAGATAAGTACCTGGGCCACAGGTTGTGGACTAGGTATTAACCCAGGAAAAACTGATATGATGCTGTTTACTACTAAAACCAAAATACCAGCTTTCAGGTTGCCTTCACTAAACGGGCAACAGTTAAAACTATCGGAAAAAGCCAAATATCTAGGAATTCTGTTGGATAGTAAGTTAAACTGGAAACACAATGTCGATCTTCGTATCAAGAAGGCATGTGTAGGTTTCTATTCTTGCAAGAGGATGTTTGGCAAAAAATGGGGGATTCGTCCCGAAATTACCCACTGGATGTACACGGCAATTGTACGACCAATTCTCACGTATGGTGCTGTCGTATGGTGGCCGGCTCTAAACAAGAGCTATAATATCGACAAACTTAACAGAATTCAGAGGACGGCATGTGTAGGCATCACAGGAGCTTTTAGGACGACTCCTTCGGACGCCCTAAACGTGATGCTGCATCTGCTACCTATTGATCTTCACATTAAAAACATGGTTTGTAATAGCGCTGTAAGACTGAAAGTAACAGGCGTATGGTTAGAACGAACATATGGACATAGTCAGATTCTAGGTATAGTTCCAAATTGTCTGTATAGGATGACATCGGATTATCTGAATCCGTGTATAGACTTCGAAAGGAACTTCCAGACAATATTCCCTTCAAGAAATGAGTGGAAAAGGAAAAATTTCGAAGCAAATTACGATATCTCAATATATACAGATGGCTCGAAAATGAGCGGTGGGGCAGGAGCAGGAATCTTCGCACCATCTAAAAATATAAATATCTCTCTTAGGATACCTAATGAAGCTACGGTTTTTCAGGCTGAAATCCTAGCAATAAAAGAAGCCTGTCGGCAAATTGCAAGCCACATCGAGAACAGATGTAGTGTTGCTATTTTTATTGACGTCCAGGCAGCAATTAAAGCTCTTGAATCCTTTATAACAAAATCAAAAATAGTAAAAGAATGTAGAGAAGCAATCGACGAGCTAAACCGGTTGGCCGATATCACACTCATCTGGGTTCCTGGGCATAGGAACATCGTAGGGAATGAGAAAGCTGATAGTTTAGCCCGCTCTGGTGCCTCCCTAGACTCCCTAGACCAACCAACTTTGTCATCTGATAAAATAAGTGGTTCTAGGATGTAGCTTCGGTCGTTCTTTAGTTCCATGTCATCTTATCTATATTTACTCTCCCCATTCTTTCCGTGCTATTCTATTCCGCATGTTTTCCCATTTTTATAGATGTTTACTTTCCAGAATTATTTGTGCTAATCATATAACGGAAGATTATGGGCCAATTTACTGATCAACTGCATTGTTTCGCTTTATTTACAGAAGCTTCAGAGAAGAAGCTTCATTTAAATGCCGTATAATTTAAATACAGTAATATTTCTTATTATGAATATAACTTTTCAATGTTATTCAACCACAACCTGTATATGTATAGTATAAATATTATATATGTATGTAAATACTGCCTAAATATGTTTTAACTTGAGATGGATTATATATAATATGAGTATACAATATTTAGCTAATTTCGATACGGATAAGGTTTTGATATCTCCAACAAGCTCCTATGTTTAAGTTATTTTGAAGAAGAAGCCAGCTGACGGTATTGAAACTCTTTTCTCACAATCGTCCAACAAAAAGAACAATAAGACTAAGCAGGTGTTTTATTGTAATATGAAGGAAAAGTTCGAGACGCTCAATTATTGAATGACTATGAAGCAGAATGAGTAAAAATTAAAATCCATTTCGTAGGAAGACATTTATATGCTGTGAATTTTTAAATATGACATAAAGCGTGGAACCTGGAACCTGGAAGTTTAATTTTCGCGCCACTGACGTCATATATCTGCAAAACCTTTTTCAAAAATTGTAAAGTTTTTGGTATATTCCTAGGAAATGTTTGAAAGAGCGAATAAATCACAGCAAAGTCTATTTGTTCTGCACTAGCAAAACCTAAGGCATATAAGTCAGCTATTATTTATCAAAATGATTTCCAATAGCAATAGTGTTATCTAGTTAAGATTAAAATCTAAAAAGAAACTCTTTTATAAGATCTTAAAATTATGAGAAAAACATTAGAGAAATATGTGGTTTCAAATTAAATTTAGATTTTTTATTTAAACTCGCTTTGAAAAGTTCAACTTGACAAGGTACCAAAATCTCACTAAAGCAAAAATAAAATTCTACCACAAAAGTAAATTTTTATTTTAAATTTTCTGCAAATATATAATAT